AGGACTATTTGGAAAAGCTGGACGAGCACCAGTCCATGGGGCTGGATGCACTGCATCCGAGGGTGCTAAAGGGGTTGGTGGATGTGATTACGGAGCTATTGGCCATTATCTTTGAAAACTCATGGCGATTGGGGGAAGTCCTGGATGACTGGAAAAAGGCTAATGTAGTGCCCATCTTTAAAAAAGAGAAGAAGGAGGATCTGGGGAACTACAGGCCAGTCAGCCTCACCTCAGTCCCTGGAAAAATCATGGAGCAGGTCCTCAAGGAATCAATTCTGAAGCACTTAGAGGAAAGGAAAGTGATCAGGAACAGTCAGCATGGATTCACCAAGGGCAAGTCATGCCTGACTAACCTAATTGCCTTCTATGACGAGATAACTGGCTCTGTGGATGAGGAGAAAGCAGTGGACGTGTTATTCCTTGACTTTAGCAAAAATTTTGATACAGTCTCCCACAGTATTCTTGCCGGCAAGTTAAAGAAGTATGGGCTGGATGAATGGACTGTAAGGTGGATAGAAAGCTGGCTAGATCATCGGGCTCAACGGGTAGTGATCAATGGCTCCATGTCTATTTGGCAGTCGGTATCAAGCGGAGTGCCCCAAGGGTCGGTCCTGGGGCTGGTTTTGTTCAGTGTCTTTATTAATGATCTGGAGGATGGCGTGGACTGCACTCTCAGCAAGTTTGCAGATGACACTAAACTGGGAGGAATGGTAGATATGCTGGAGGGTAGGGATAGGATACAGAGGGACATAGACAAATTAGAGGATTGGGCCAAAAGAAATCTGATGAGGTTCAACAAGGACAAGTGCAGAGTCCTGCACTTAAGACAGAAGAATCCCATTCACTGCTACAGACTAGGGACCAAATGGCTAGGCAGCAGTTCTGCAGAAAAGGACCTAGGGGTTACAGTGGACGAGAAGCTGGATATGAGTTGACAGTGTGCCCTTGTTGCCAAGAAGGCTAATGGCAATTTGGGCTGTATAAGTAGGGGCATTGCCAGCAGATCGAGGCCTCATCTGGAGTACTGTGTCCAGTTTTGGGCCCCACGCTCCAATAAGGATGTGGAAAAATTGGAAAGAGTCCAGCAGAGGGCAACAAAAATGATTAGGGGGCTGGAGCACATGACTTATGAGGAGAGGCTGAGGGAACTGGGATTGTTTAGTCTGCAGAAGAGAAGAATGAGAGGGGATTTGATAGCTGCTTTCAACTACCTGAAAGGGAGTTCCAAAGAGGATGGATCTAGACTGTTCTCAGTGGTACCAGACGACAGAACAAGGAGTAACGATCTCAAGTTGCAGTGGGGGAGGTTTAGGTTGGATATTAGGAAAAACTATTTCACTAGGAGGGCAGTGAAACACTGGAATGGGTTACCTAGGGAGGTGGTGGAATCTCCTTCCTTTAGAGGTTTTTAAGGTCAGGCTTGACAAAGCCCTGGCTGGGATGATTTAGTTGTGGATTGGTCCTGCTTTGAGCAGGGGGTTGGACTAGATGACCTCCTGAGGTCCCTTCCAACCCTGATATTCTATGATTCTATGATTCGATGATAAAAATTACAACTGTCTCACATTTCCATTGCTTGTTTTCTTACAGGATTACTCCCTGATGCAGCGAAGTGAAAGAAGAGGGCTTCTTTGAGAGACATGCAGAGAAAGAAGAACCCCCAAAAGATCTATAAGTTAGTAGAAGCCAAGGCACTACTGAATAGAATAATTGATTGTTAGAACCTTGCTTATGAATAGAGGCAATTCTTCCAAGAGTAAGCTATCACTAGCACTCCTTAATGGCAAGTACAAATTAATGAAAAGACATTAGAAAGACCAGGTGGGCAAGGTAATATCTTTTATTTGACCAACTAGTTTTGGTGCAGAGACAGACTTTCGAGCTTACACAGAACTGAAGAAGAGCTCTGTGTAAGCTTGAAAGCTTGAAGTTGGTCCAATAAAAGATGTTACCGCTTCCACATTGTCTCTCTAATGTTCTGGGACTAAACATGACTACTGTGTCACTGCAAACATGAAAACACATTGACAGTAGTCTCTGTTTTGGACTCCTGATAGACCTGGAACACAATGGTGCTATTAACAAAGATTTTATTAAAGAAATGGCTAAAATATTCGCTCAAGCAAACGGACTGTTGCTTTTGTTTCTACAGAACCCTGGCTATCACTTCAGATATGGGCAAGAATATGGTGCACAAGCAGCAAGGGGAAAAGGCATTTGATGCCCACCAAAATAGCACCAATATAAATAATCAAGTCTATGTTATCATCAACTGTTGAGAACAGTTCCAAACCACCCTCCCCAAGCGTCTCATTGCTATCTTACTCAGCAGTGACACCATGTCTTGTTAGTCCTAAGGTGGGGCAGAGGGACGAGAATTCATCTTCATTTTTTTAACACCTGATGTTAAAAATGTTACATTTCAAAATCATCAACTTTTCTCTCTTGGTTGATTTATCTATAAATCATCAAAATACAGTAATGTTCATAATTGTGGTTTTAAAAAAAATCTAATACGTTTCAAGTTATCAGGTTCTGAATGATGCTTTTATATTCTCCAATATGTATTCTGATGGTCAAAATAGTTGTCTGCTATGAATAAAGTAGCAGAAAGATGGTTGATTGAAATAAGTGGCAATCACTGTACTATACATATTTATATGGCAAAATCAGTTAAAAGCCGCAACATTTCATATCTAAAAACTAAAGAACTAATGCTATAATATATTAAGATACCACTTGGCAATTTCTTTCACATTAGAACCAGGATCCAGAAAATAATAATCATTTAAACAATAACTTTGTTTACTTTTCCATTAGAGAAGCTGTTACCTACAGTACCCAACTTTGACAACAGGTAGAGTTGTCAGAAACAAAAGGAATTATCAGTCAAATCGCCATTATTTCTCATCCGTTTTTTAATACCTTCAACCTTCAAGGATGCATATTATGGCCATACAGTAGAACCTCAAAGATACGAGCCCCAGAGTTATGGACTGACAGACGCCATGTGAAACCGGAAGTAACCAATCAGGCAGCAGCAGAGACACAAAACAAAACAAAAAAGCAAGTACTCTACTGTGCCTGTATTGCATCTTAAAGGTAGGCACATCTGGGTTGAAGAACAGGAGCAGCGCTGGGGTCTGCGCAGCTTTTGCCCCTCTCCTCCTTGCTGGGTGGGGGCCGTGTTGTTTTTACCCCCCCCCAGCTGGGAGGGGGACGTGCTGTTTTCACCCCACACACCCCTGCCTAGAGAGGAACATGATTAATTCATGCTGGGGCTGAGTAGGGAGCTCAACTGTTGCTGAATCCTGCTGGAGCTGGAGCCTGAACTGCGCTTTGTTCAGAGTTATGAACATTTCAGAGTTACGGACAACCTCCATTCCCGAGGTGTCCAGAACTCTGAGGTTCTACTGTATTTACTAGGGTTGAGGTTTAGTTGGGTTGTCCTTCAGACAACTGCTTTTAAATTGGATAGAAGGGTTATTACAAGGCAATCCTTTCCCCTAGACATCGAATGTGGTCCCAGCCCCTTCCTGTCTTGCAATGAGAGAGCAGACTAAAGTTTCTCAGGTGGCACTTTGGAGAACTAACCACAGGACCAGTCTATTCCCCACCTAGTGTTATTTGTAACCTCTGAGAGAGCCATGAGATCAAACAGATTCACCTTGAAGCAAAAGGCAAATCAAACTGAAGTCTGATATTGGCTGTGGCTTGGTCCTGAGTGGACCATCCTATGTGATCCTACAGTAAAATCAGGGTGGATTTGCAATGTTACCATTATTAACATAGAAGTTGATTTATTCTCGCATGAGTTCACTTTAGGACCAAGTAGAACAAGTCAGCCATAAAGGAGATCACCTTTATTAAAAACGATACCTCTTTGGTAGTATTACAGACATACTGAAATATAACATTGATCAAGCAGATTCCTTTTTAAAAGCTTGTTCCCATGTGAAAGGCTCACTGTAGAACGAATATATTCTGTGTAGTTATTTTTAACAGAAATACCATAAATAGTGACTATGCAGTAAACTAGTGAGCATAGAGTAGGCCAAGTTCTCTGCTGGTGTAAATTGGGGCAGTTTCATTGAAATAAATGGTGCTCTGCCAATTTACACCAACAGAGAATTTAGCCCAGTACAGTTAAATAGTATTGACTTTCTGGTAAATACTAGGCTAGATCCTCAGATGGAGTAAATCAGCACAGATTCATTGACGTCAATAGATTTACATTAGACTATAGAATATATAGACTATATTCCTAACTTGCTTATGATAAAAGTATACCTACAGGGGACAGCTTAAGATCTTGCAGGATATCATCAAAGTAATGAAACTCTGAGTTCTCCAGCTCCACCATTTCATTCTTCAGCTCCAGGATACGGCCCATCACTCCCTCCAGCACTTGCCGAATCACTAACCGTTTTTGTGGGTGAACGATCTGGTCGTAGACAGTCTCCAAGTTACAGAAAATTTGCACATATTTGATGTAGAAGGTGGCTAAAGTCTGGAACACTGTTATGCGATCCTTCTGTGGCTTTAGGGACTTATCTTCTGTCTCCCTCTGGAGCAGACCGTTGAGGGCTTCTTGGGCTTCTGCCCACATCTTATTATAAGTGCTAATTGAAAGGAGAAAAGAATATCTTAGCTGCAGCAAATATAAGCATTGATTAGCACACAATTGCATGCACAGTTACTGAGTGGCTCCAAGACTCCAGAGGTGTGGATATCTCACAAATGCAAGCACTGATGTGCATTTTAATTTCAAAAAGATTTTAAAAACTTAGCTAAAATATATTTTAAAGCACAGTTTATGTATTTTACCAGCATTACTTAATTAAACCATAGCTCTTTTTTATTGTCTCTACTAGTAAAGCGGGTTTAGAAATAGGAGTTTTAAAATTATGCTTTAATAACATAAAAAAGTTAGAAATTGTTGGAGTTCATCACAAAATGTAGTTGTAACGACAGCTCCCATCTAGCAACGAGCTCTGCATAGGCAGACCCTTGTGCCTATGTGAAACCCCACTGAAGTCAATGCAGGATCAGAACCTAAGGCATGTACGTCAACCGTCACAACCCTTATTGCATGATTCGATGTCCAGTGGTTGCAATTTAAAAAAATAAAATGTTAGGCTCCCCTTTTTATTCTCCTGTCAGGAACTGGGCCGCAGTAGCATCAAAAAGGAGTTTAAAGGTTACAATGGTGGTGATGTTTTTTTTCATTGGCAATATGAGAACATGGAATTTATATCACCTGCATCTTGGAAATTGTCGGTTCTGCAAGGAATTGCTGGCATTTCCACAGGCTGTGACAATAACAGCAGGCTTCTCTTACAATCCAGCCTTTCCAGGCTAGCTGCAACAGCAATGATTGTGGGGGTGTAGCGGGGTGGTCACCTGCTCCGGCCTTAAAGGGCTTAAAACAGCCCAGGAGAGGGCAGTGGCTGGGAGCAAGCAGTCCCCAGGCTGAGTGGGGAAGCAGCCTCAGCTGGCCCTTATAAGAGGGCAGTGGGCTAGGAGCCCACACACTCTCTCTAGCCTTTGGAGAGGGAGGGACCAGGCTGCCAGGGGAGCTGAGGAAGGTACCGAGGGTGGAGCAGTGCTGGGGAAGGGCCAGGGAGCTGGTGAGCTCCAGCCTAGCAGAGCCCCAGGCTGCAGGCTGAAGTAAGGGCCCATTAGGGTTGCAGAGGGTCCATACGGTTACGGGGGGATCAAGGAAGGTAGTGTGGCCTAGAAGATAAGTGTGTGAGGTCTAGTCCCAGCTCTGCCACTGGCCTACTGGGTGACCTTGGGTAAGTTACTTCACCTCACCATGCGTCACTTTCTCTATCTGTAAAATGGGCATAATGATACTCACTTCCCTTTGAAAAGTGCTTTGGGATCTACTGATGAAAGTGCTATATCAGCACTAGTTGTGTTTTTTTTTTTACAGTGGCAACATAGAGTATATTGGAACATGCTACTGTAAGATGGAAATTGGAACATAGGAATGGTTAAAGACGTATTTTAAAAAGAGCACTCAGTCTCACAGCCATGCTGGAAATCCTGAACTAAGAAAGGACGTGCCATGTACAAAGGGTTGGAACTCTGCTTTCACTGTTCATCCCTAGTCTATCAAATGCTGATGCATGACAGCTAGTAAGGTAGGAAAATAATGTGAGAAAGGACCTCAGATGACAGAATGTATAGTTTTGTGGTTAAGACCATGGGCTGGGACTCGGGATATGCATCAATTCCTGGCTCTGTCATAGACTGTCTGTGTGACATTGGTCAAGTTACTTAAGCTCCCTGTGCTTCAGTTCCCAATATGCAAAATGGGGTTAATAATACTGTTTTTATCTGTCTTGTCTATTTACACTGTGTTTTCTTCAGGGCAGAGGCTACCTCTCACTATGTGGATGGGGCCTCTGATTTACTATACTACACATAAATAACAAGGTTTAAATCTGTAAGGTAAGGAGAAGTGGCAACTAAAAAACCAGACCTGACTCCCTCAGAATTCTGAGGAGATTTGTATCTAAAGCTGAAAGTACAGTTTTACTTCATCCAAAAACTAAAGAAAGCACCCTGGCTAGAAAACCTAGAGGGATGGAGTTCTCTGCTCCCTCTGTTGGGGAGAAGTGGAAAATCCAGCTCTGGCTAACTTCATTTACATGAATTGTAATATTGTTTACCCATAATTCCACCTATTGAGTTTTTGTTCTTTTGGTTGGAAATGTTTGTTTTCATGCGTAAAGGTGATACTAGGTTGTTGCCAGTACTGTGCTCATGAAATGACATAGAACTGTGCAAGATATGCCAGGGGTGAGGAATCACCCTGACTGAATAAGAAACAGACTTTGGTTGGATAACAAAGCTTGGCCTCAAAAAAGAAATAGGAAGTTTTGTCTTGAAGAACTCTGATCTAGAGAATAGGGATTTTATCTTAGGGTCCAGTTCTGCTCTATGCTCCCCATGTGGTGATTCCCTAACCTCAGTGAAAAACTCTATAGAGAGATGTGTCTGTAACAGTAATGATAAAGAAGTAGAGCTGGCTCTGTTCAAAGGCCTCACTGGCAGCAGTGGAGTAGAGTTGGTTCCACAGAAAGTTCTAACCAGACCAGTGGTGGCAATAGTGAGCTGACTTCACAGTGTGCCAGCCCACTCAGCTGGTGGAGGCAGACATGAAAGCACTGGACTGGACTAGGTTGCTGCTCATTAGCATCAGATCTGGCAGAATAGTTCTCTGAGGTCTACAGCTGACAAGCAGAGGAGAGCTGCCCTTGGATAGCCTTTGGTTACCACTGAGACTAACTCAACCTGTGAGTGGGGTTTTTGGTGGGTGGAGTTTGTGGTGGTACAGGGTTCTGGAGCTCCATAAGCTGGACTGGGAGATGACCAAACTCTTGGTGTATTAATTTGGGTTGTTCAGTTTCTCATATATAAATATATATCATTGTTTTGTTTCATGTTTCTTTTGGTTGTGTTCATCTTTCTCCCCAAATTAAAGATTCCTGTGTTCCATATTTCTGAATGACTTTCGAGCGCTTGTGAGTGGGGAAAAAAAACTTCCCTTTAGCGTGACAAGGGAAGCTTAATTTTTATTTCCCAGAGCCAGAAACAAGAGTACTGCTCTGGGTGGGGTTCGAGCCATATATCAATTTACCTTAGATACATTGAACCTAGCCCTTGTTGCTGTCACCGGCACCTGGCAGAAGGATTATTAACACATTCAATTGAATTATGTCTGTTACATTTTATAGAGCTATTTTGTACCAGTTATCTTGCTGGTCTGATTGGGACTGAGAATGCAGTTGCATATTAATTTTCTGTTGTGATGAAGAGGCCAAGCAGCTGCAACCGGCGTGATTGTCATCCATAAGTGTATGGGTTGGAATCTTCGTAAGCCAATCGTATTGTTCCCTCATGCCTATGCATTTTATAATACTGAATGATATACTTGCAATTGAAATGAGGCTATGGAGGTGACAGGATAATACTGCAGTAAGGTTTCTCATCTTGGACATAGTGGCTTGAGCTCTCTGTATTTGTTTATTTCTTCAGGATATCGATGGGGATGTTCTGATTGACTAGAATGCTCAGGAAAAATATGACCAATCCGAGCCTGCTATTGAATTTACATGCTTTCATTTTTTTAAAGTGTATACTATACTTTTCAGCTTCAGCAGGACGCAGCTGGCCCTGCTCTTCTTAATGTATTAAGAGCCCACCCAGATCTTTCCCCCTTTCTTCCTATTTCATTTATATCCCATTGCACCAACTGACTCAGTAGATTGCAGCAATTAACCCAGGTGCAAGAGATAAACAAAATAAAACCACTGGGGTATGAAAGATTGGCACAAGCAAGAACATCATTAGCTGTGCCCTGACAGCTCAGCCATTTGATCAATGGGGGTTTTGTACATGTTCTTAGAATTGGGGACTCAGATGAACGGAAACCAATGAGACTCATGGGGTACGCCAGCACAGAAGAACACAACACGCTATTGTACTTTCCTAGCTGTGTGTATCTAGAAACAATTTTGCAGTGGGGAGGTTATAAATCTTTGAGGATGTCTGGCCCTATAGGCTGTACCCCAACTACAGGCTTGATTTATGAACAGTGGGTATCCTCAGGCTAGAACATTTCAAATGCAAGTTGTTTCAGAGCTGACAATAGGCAACAGTGCAACCAAAACTGCCCATACAACTGTCCACTTCATTTTACAATAACCTCTTTCTCTCTCCCCAGTCTGGGGAGAATGCCAAGTGTTCTCCCATTGCACCAGCTAATATTCACAGTTTCTTTTTATATTTTTGAATACGTTTTTTTTTAAATTAAAGCATGTTAACATAAGGCAAAATAGTATCAGATACGTGTAAGATAATGACAAATTACTGCAAGCATGTTGTTATGGATCGGTTTCATGTCTGTGGAGATCATGACATTTGTCTGTTTTTCCAGCATTAACATTTAATCTAAATAAAGGACAGGGAAGGGTGGGGGGAAGGAAATAAAGTACAAAACATTAAGGAAAAGAAAAAGGCGGGAAAAGAATGACATGAAAACAACCGGGGGCAGATCCTCACATGGTGTAAGTCAGCATACACCATTTGAGGATCTGGCCCCTAGTGCTTAAGATAGGGAACCAGCTGACCCATAACCAGAATGGGCACTATTTGTTCAGGCAGTGATGGAGGAAGTGCGTTTTAAGTGTCTCAAATCCTATATTAGTTTGATAAAACAAACAAGTAAACACACAGCCAGATGTTGCCAGATCTGATCATAGCGGTGCAAATTCTCACGTAAATATTCAGTGATTAAGGCCATGCTGGTCCATAGGGGCAGTAACCTTAGGGCTCAAAGGTGCCTGAATGTGTGGCCCTGACTGTGCTGCTGCACCACAAGGGCAACTCCAGGAACAATTGTGCTCCTGAGAGGCACAGTCTCCTCCTGAGTGCCTAGGGGCACAAATGGAGCATGCCCACTGCAGTCTCCATTCGTTTCTACAGTGTCTGCTCCTCTGTCAGAGTGGCGAATGCTCCCTGTGTGCTAGAGGGAGCAATCTCAGTGCTGAGGGGAGTGCCTGGCCCCAGCCCAGGGACCATAGGAGGGGAGTGAGGCCCTTCAGCCCTC